AAAAAAAAAAAAAAAAAAAAAAAAAAAAAGGGCTGACTTCTCAGAACCTGACTGAACCTCAGGAAAAGCGACTTTGAGTTACATATTAGACTTACTTTGAGTTACATATTAGACTTAGTCTTAAACATGGGGTAATATGCTTGAAATTTTGTACTTTAGTTTGATCTGTGTGTACAAATATACCAGTGAACCATTTGGTTCTAGTCCATGGGGAGATTCGTTTATGTAATTTAGGTTGCATCTGAATGATGTCGTCATGATATCTTATTCTACTTAACAAAGAATACAATAAATATTAATAAATAAAATTCTCGAAGAATGATAGGTGTTAATTCAACGAACAATGCTTGGAATATCTGAAGACAAAGCTAGTAACTTTCTTCTTGATAAAGCATGGTATTGTTCGAGATGTATGATGTGTTAAGCCTTTAAATAAGGGGCTGACAACGTGGGGATTATGGTATTCTGTAGAAGAGTGCTGAAGATTAAAGAGAATACAAATGTGAGTTTGTGCATTGAGAGAGATTGTATAAAAATTTGAGTATGGCTTTGTAAATTTCCTCTTTGTTAATTGCAAATGTTAGAGTGTTCACATGGGTTGGTATGTGCAGGTAAAACCTCATTTAGTTTGACTTTGACTGCTAATCCCATCTTCTCACCAGTGAAATGGTATAAAGGAGATGAAGGGAAAGACGTGTAGGGATTTAGGTTAGAATAGGTGATATAAAATGGCGATAACAGGCATAGTGTGGGCTGAATTGCAATGTTTTTCCTCTTTTTTTAGTTTTTATTTACATTAAGTTCTGGAGTTTAAGAAGGGTTTGTGTTTGAGGGACTGATCAGGCTAGCATGCAAGTTAGACATGATAGAAGGGTTACCTTTTAGCGAAACGGTGCAGTTAGATTTCCAAACATGTTCTGCTGTCAAACTTCGTTTACACATTTTTCCATCTCTCTCGATAAAGTTATAGGTTGACACTTATGTGGACATGTGTTAGCACATTAATATAAGCACACTAATTCATGCGTAGTTATTCGATGATCTCATTATCTTGCATGATAAGCTAAGTTTCATTCTTTCTATCGCACATGACTGCAGATGGTGGAATACTTTAATAAAAAGGCTAATATCTCTGGACACATTCCTCTTGGTAGTTTCAATGCTGTGTTCAACTTTACTGGTTCTAAGCATGTAGATGCTGCTGCCACAAAGTCTCTTTGCATGGATGGAATTTTCATTCCACTAGCTAAGATTCAAATTATCAAATCTCCCATGGTTTTGCATGAAAATGTTAGAAGAGCTGTCCCAACATCATGGGACCCTCCAGCCCTGGCCAGGTAGAAATTGTAAGTTGCGTATCTTAACATCTGTCTATTAGGTTTAATGCTCACTGATTCTTTCTTATCTGTACTTGACAGTTTCATTGAAAATTTTGGGACACATGTTATTATGTCTGTAACTATTGGCGGTAAAGATGTAATCTATGTCAAGCAGCACCAATCTTCACCTTTGTCCACAATGGAAATAAAAAATTATGTTCAAGATATTGGAAACCAAAGGTTCTCTACTGCGGAAGGCCTTACAAATTCAGGTTTATTGAAGTCCAAGGATAAGGCTAGTTCTGTCGCATTTCTTTCTTCTCACTCCTTCAACAATTTCCCCCTAATTCATTTGGCATAATCTCTTTGTTCTGGATAAGAAAACCAGACTTGTAATTGTCCACTAAATAAAATTTTCTTTAGCTTCCTAACCTTTTTATTTCTCCCGTTTATATTTGCAGGGCAGTGACCCTTCTTTGTTTAACAGCCAAGGGATATACCCACAACCTGCCAATGCACCTTATCTCTCTGGGAACGGCAAAGAAGTATGTAGAACCTTTTTCTTTCTTATTTCATTCTTCTACCTTCTCCTAATGAAGTGCAATCTGATTTTTCGGATGATAACTTGGTGGAAGTAGCATCAGATATGGAGAAATTATCAAAACGAGAAGAAGAATATAGCCAATAAATTTAGGATCTGCACATTAATCTTTTTCACCTTGTCATTCCGTCAAGCTAAGAAATTATGTCAAAAAAAAAAAAAA